GAGGCCTTCAGCTGTGTCAGATGATGACAGGTTGGATCCAGGGGGACCAGGAGGTCCTGGAGGCCCTGGTGGACCTGGAGGACCCTAGAAGTAAGAGTATTTTTAAATTTTTTCAACTCTGTAAATTCAAATATTAGAGTTTTCTTTATTAACCTCATTGGTCTTTAACTTACCCTGATAACTTCAGTGTCACTTTCTAGGTCTTCATACCCAGAACCCAGGGCATCTGCTCCATACTAAAGCACACATAAACACAGACATACAATGAGATGATTGAGATGCTTCAAGCATCTTGTTACGAGTGCTTCATCTACATTTACTACATGTAAAATTTCATCACAAAAATGTAGAATAATAGCCTGAATGCATGCTATTTTTACAGCAAAAGCATGGGTAGTAGAACCATAAATTGAGATGCTCACAGGTACACTGTGTGACCTGAGGGGTCCAGGTGGCCCAGGCAGGCCAGGAGGGCCTGGTATGCTAACTCCAGGGTCACCCTGTAGAGGGTGAAAGCAAGAGAAACACAAGACAAGGAAAATGATTTGCATTTTGGGCTCTGTTTTCCTAAAATAGGGCACAGTGGAAAACTTGTGCCTAAATTCCAGATGCAAGGTGCATATGGGCATGTCAAATAATGTTTGAGCCAGATCATACAGCCAGTGGATGTGTCACCCACTTTATCTCCACCAACAGCTGCTTTTGTCAGGATCAAACCATCACAAAAAGCAAATGACACAATATACGTCCTTGTGGCAGTAATGAAATTATTTCTCTGTGGAACTTGATTGTCTAAAGAAACTTACACTTAACATCCCACAGCAGCAACAGTGATGTCAGACTGACTTTACCTGGTACATAACAGGGTATTTGTTACTTGACATGGCTCATGAGCTGCTTTCATTTGCACTGTTTGACCATATTCCTATGTATAGCCACATACTGACAACTAGTTTATTTAACTTATTTAATTATTCTAAAGTATCACACATATTTCATAATTCTGATAATTTACCAATATATTACTCAGAATGAATTCCAGCAGATCAGTTGTGGATTTAAGGGTTAATTTAAGTTGTGGCCATTAAAATACTTCTGACCATGTGCTCCTCAACTTGCACACTTATCCAGAATTTTGCAAACACACCTGCAAAAGCAATAAAAAGTGGTCTGAGCAGGTGTTATCGCTATCATTATTTTGGGTCAAAGCAAGCACCAAAATTGCACTGTGCTGCCTAATTAGCATACACACTGCCTCAACTGTGCTTCTCCTCCCACTTCAGAGTAAGCACATCCATTTTTTGGCTGGAAAACACCAAACACACCAATGTATAAAAAATGTCAACATGCGCCCAAAGAAAACTGCACAATGGCTGACTGAAGCGATGCAGAAACTGCATTGCAGCGAAATAGAGCCCTCTGTGTTATAACAAAAAGCTGTATTTTAAAAAATACAAAGCCTGTTGTAAGGTATTATCTGCAACATCTGTGCTTCACATGTACCTTCTCTCCTTTGGCTCCAGCTTCTCCATCCAACCCTGGAAATCCCTGAGGTCCTCTCTGACCCTGGACATCAAAATACAGTTTAATAATTACAAATAACATAAAGCACATCAACCTAGACAGAAGATTCACTAAAACAACAAATAACTTACTGGATCGCCCTTGCTTCCCTGTGAAGAGAGAGCAGAAGGATGAAACTAAGTAGCACAAAGAACTGTACAGGACTTAGGATTAGTACAAAACTTTTATATGCTCTCTGTACACACACACCTGCTGCCCATCTTTCCCTGGGAGTCCAGGGGAACTGGGGGTCCCTGGTTGTCCTTGTGGCCCCCTTGATTCAGGATGAGCTTGCCCAGGTGGAGGGGTAGGTCCTGGTGGTCCACGATCCCCATGCTTTCCTTTTAACCCAGGCGTGACATGACCCTGGAAATTCAAATTAAACTTTTAATCTCTCAGTTAAGATGTCAATGTAGACAATATTTAACGTGTGAAAATGTTTTGACTCTTATTGGCAGCAAAAAAAGAAAGAAAAAGAGAAGCCAGGAAGTCCACGTCTGAACTTACATCTAATCTTTCTCCTGGCTCATCTGTCCGGTGTGGCCCTGTACACAGTATATGACATCAACAAGTTTTATATCATCATGAATATTCTTTGGCTGTAAATCTGACCATACTGCAGCTTCCATCCTGGGCAACCAGATTCAACAGATTCAAACAAATGTAGTATGGTACTTAGCTAACACTCATATACATGTGTGTGTATATATATAT